AGCCCTAAACCCTAAACCCCTAAACCCTAAACCGACTGTTGCTCCAGGATTTGCTCGGAACTGACCGAGGTTGCAGGCGAGGCTCCGAATCGCAGAAGCCTGGGCTTTCAGTCAAAGCGAGAGTTTAGGAGTGTATAGTTTAGGGTTTAGGCGTTAGAGTTTAGAGTTTAGGGTCAAGGGGTTTAGACTTCGGGGTCTCGCTTTTGGCGGGGTTGGGGGTGTGGGGCATCGGCCTGGGATTCTAGGGTCGTGGGGGGGGTGGGGGGGTGGGGGGTGTTCCTTTACATTTGAGTATGAATGTATGTGTGTGAGTACATATGTGTACATATTTTCACATAGACACAGAAGGATAGATTTTGATATGTCTGCATGTATGTCATTATGTGTGTGTATACATACAGACATACACACACGTATACTCGATACCACGTGGATCTCCAATTTCAAGCTGCTGGCGAATGCCAGCATGTTTCATCTAAGCTGCCGGACTTCTCACCTGCCCTAAACCCTACACTCTGGCATAGTCTAAACGGGCTCGGCCAATGCCTTGAAGAGGATGGTTGCCAGCCTTTTTCACAAGGGCTTGCCTAAAATGCCTCGTAACCCCTATAAACCCGAACAGCTTACCTATTTGACCCAACAGTATGGACAATCCATAAGTGCGGTTTGCAACTCCAGGCTAATCGATGCCTCGCGGCTTTCCCACGACTTCTTCATGCCTTTCTTTTTCTGCATCTGCTTGACCTTGTTCACCTGAGGCAGTCTGGGTCAAGCCAAGGTTGATGGAGTCAGAGGTCAAAGCTTTCAGGAAAGCAGCCTAGCGACAAATCCTTGTTTGCGCTCTCACAAATCCTCGTTGTATGACTTGGTGCCCTTCTCGAGTTTAGGGTTTAGCCGCTTAGCCCCCACAAACCCTATAGATTTCAGACCCCGAGCCCTAAACCCAAGCCGACAGAGCCCGACACCTGAAGTAACCCTAAACCCCTAAAGCCCTAAATCCCTTAATCCCTAAACCCTAAACCCCTAACCCTAAACCCCTAAACCCTAAACTCTAAACCCTAAACCCCTAACCCCTAACCCCTAAAGCCGCCGAGTGGCGAGTCGCAACTGCATCGCTTCAGCCGCCCGTTCCATTGGGTCGCGCTCGGCCTCCGTTGGCGGCAAAGGGGCCAGGAACTAATTCGGGTTTGGGGTTTAGGGGTTTAGGGGTTTAGGGTTTGGGGTTTAGGGGTTTAGGGTTTCGGGTTCAGGGGTTTAGGGGTTTGGGGGTTTAGGGGTTTAGGGGTTAGGGGTTCAGGGTTTAGGGTTTAGGGGTTTAGGGGTTTAGGGGTTTAGGGTTTAGGGACTAATCAGGGTTTATATGCTTCAGGGCCTTTTTCTACCTCGGAAGGACGACAGTCTTGACCTGCTGGACCTTCTTGTCTCAAGACGTCTTGCAGAGTAGTAACGGAGTACCGAAAAGTGCGATTCCGTTGTAAAATTATACTACTTTCATGCTCCAGAGGAGTGGCCCGCGGGTCCTCGTTGTTAGGGTTCTACGGAGAACAACGACGAGGTCAAACTTTCGTCCTATCGCGGTATTAGTGGGAGGGGATTAAGCCCACTGGGTTTCTCTAGCCGACCCTTTTTTGCAACAGGCTTTCCACTTCTAGCCGACCCTAAACCCCAAACCCAAAGCCCATGAACCCGAAACCCCAAGGAATCTGTACTATGAGGGCCTAAATAATTGTCAATACTATGCTCGATGATAGAAATCCTGCAGTACCCATAATAAGGAATATACCATAATTCCCATAGTTTAGTTTCGTCAAAGTATTGCAGAATTTAAATCATCAACAGTATTTTGGTGTTCCTTATTGTAATTTGAGTATAATTTACCCCAAAACCCTATTCAAACTACTAAGGCCCCTACATTAGCCGACTTCGAAGGCCTCACCGCAAAAGGAGCGCCAGCAACGGCGGCAAAACCACCGATCGCCTTCACGGCTTTAGTAGGAGTTAGGACTAAGGGGACCCTTGGGGATATGGACCCTCTCAATAAGGTCCCTTTTAAGATAGCCATAAGTAGGGTTAAGAAGGGTCCCCTTTAAGGGGTCTCCCTAATACTACCAAGGATTAGAGGACTTTAGGTGGTTTAGGGTTTCGGCGCTCACAACTCAGACACTCCAGGCGAGGCATATGTCAATGAGACTAATGTGAAACTTTTTAAAAGGCCAGAGCGAAACCAGCGGTTCAGGGTTTAGGGATTTAGTGGTAGGGCTTTGTCTACGGACTTCGACTCGCGCACTCGTGCTTTTCTCTACGGATTTAGGGTTTTCGGTTTGCGACCTGCTTCAACAGGCACGCAGGACTAGGTTAGAGTACGGTTTGGGGCTTGCAAATTCCAGCTTGCAAAACGCTATGGGGGCATGTGCCTGGTCCTGTGCCCTCCGCGCGAGACATACCAACTAAATTCACGATCGACTGCGAACAAAAACACCCTTCGATCTCCCCTGCAGTCACAAGCCAGCTCAGATGCAATCCCCAAAACCCATATATATATATATCATATATCATATCTTAGTTACTTATTATATAGAATCTATATATATATATATATATACATATGTGTGTATATGCATATGCATATGCATGTATGCATGTGTATGTATGTGTATGTATGTGCATGTCTGTGTATGTATATATATAAGATATACATTATACACTCTATATGAAACACAGAACTATATAATATAACACACTAAGACTTAAAACCGAAGCCCCGAGTCCCCATCCCAAAGTATCGGGTTTCTCAGCCGTAAGTCAAGTTGAAAAGCCAAGTTCCTGAGATGCTCTGGTCTGAACTTCCCGGCCGCGTGCAAATCACCCCCTAAAACCCTCTACGCTATAAGGCTTAGGGTTTCTTTGGCCTCCGACCTAGCTAGGACGAAGCGGGGTTTAGGATTGACATCCGAGCCACCTGAGCAACACCAAACAAATTAAAACGCAAGGAATAGAATTCAACTGTTATCCTAAGAACAAGCTCGAAGACACCTGCACTAAACCCGAAAACCTCCAGAAGCCCGTAAGCCCTGTTTGCCCTATAAACCTCTCAGTCTAAGCCTCGTCAACGCTCGCTACCCCTCCCATAAAACCTATCAGCCCTAAACCATATTCGCCCTAAGACCTAGACTAAAAACAACCCTACAAAATGCCTACAAACGCAAACCTCAACCATAACTCTAAGCCTGATCCGAAAGTGCGAAATCAGACCTGAACTGTTCCGTTTTTTTGAACCCAGACTCTGCCAATCAGCTGGGAAACTGTTCCCTTTTTACACAGGCTTGATTGGAGCTCGCCCGGCCAATGTCCCCCGCAGCACATCGCACTCATGGCGAAACTGTTCCCTAAACCCTAAACCCTAAACCAGCCACTGGTCTTAATCCGGCCGGTGCGCTGTTTGGGCCCTCCCCTTGCAGGCAGCGGCGCCCCGCGAGCCAGCCCGGGTGTCCTCAGATCTCTGGGCTTCGGAAACTTCGGGTTTAGGGTTTAGGGGTTTAGGAGGGTTTAGGGTTTAGGGTTTAGGGGTTTAGGGTTGTTTTATAGGGTCTTTGAGAGACTGTATATGGGGGCTTGTAGACAGGGACCTCATTACTTAGAATAGGGTGCGGGGTATAGTTTTCCATAGCGTGTTAAGGGATTTTATGTGGGCTTGCAGAAGGGGACCTCAACGGCGAAATTGAGCGGGGTCATATGGCAGTATAGACTACAGGGGATACTACGGGATAGTGTAGTACCATTGATTAGGGTCAGGATCTCATGGTCTAAGTTTTGTGACCTTTTCTAGTTTAGGGTGGACTCACTTCGGGGTTGTGTCCTTCCAGGGCTTTGGGTTCGAGGGTTTGGGTTTGGGGGTTCAAGCCTTTTGCAGTGGCCTTGGTTCTAAGCCCTTTTGGATTTTGGGGGTTTAGAGTTTAGGGTTCTCTGGTTCTTCCGAACTCCCACCTGCTAAGCACATGGCAGAGCTCATGCTGCAGTGATCTACTCGGGAAATCAGAAGACGCAGATCGCCAGCTACTGTAGTGAGTGGCTATGGTTAGGACGGGCGAACCCCATATATAACCGACTGAAACAAAGGAATAGTCGCATGATCCTCCGATCCTCATCACAAGATAACCCTGCTGCCCAATACAGAGGCAGTGCCACAACTCACATGCGCCTTCTGCAACACAATCTCTAAGACATCAATAACCAGCCACACTAAACTAGACTCCCCAAAGCCCCATACCTGAATCCCCTTTGCTAACGAGAAACTTTCAACCCTAAAACCTGCCGAGACCCTTAACCCCAGAAGCGGTAAGCCCTCAACCCAGTTTCTTTTTGAGGACAAGGCACGACACTCGGTGCACAGTCGCCAGTCCTTGCTTATCTTCGCAGGCTTTGTGAAGGCTTTGAGGGCCACTGCCGAAAACATGGCTTCTGCACGATTGCGAGACAATGTTAAACGCGCCTTGCGCCTCCAAAACGTACTTGCCCTAGACCTTGAGTTTGCTCATCCCTCAATCCGCGGGTTCCCCACTCGAGTTTGCCGCTCATCACTTGAACCGCAATAAGCCCGTAGGCCGGAAACTGTTCCCGGAAACAACTGCGAGTAAGGAGGTGACCAGTCGCGACTCGTCAGCATCCGCAGGCCTTTGACAATACAAACGCGCAGGCACAGAAGAACAAACCTGGTTCCATTCCCACACCTCCACACCATCTCTGCTACGAAGACTCAAGCGACTCAAACGACTTGGACCGTGCTGTGGAGTAGGGCCTTGGAGCTGAGAAAACCGACAAACAAGACCTTCAGTAATCTATCTATCTATATATATATATATATGCGTACATATATATATATATATACACATCATTTTAAAGATACATACATATATGCATATAAACATGAAAACTTGTATATAACATACAACACATCATCTTTAAAACACGCACACCGCACTGCCCGACTCTGAGCCTCCGGCCACCATGTCGCCACTCTTGGCTGCAGCATCTCGTCTTTGGCCGCCTCGGGCCCTTCGCGACAGTCCGGACGTTCCGCCCAAGTCTTTCTAGATCTTCGAGCTACTTATGACTTATAACATTGGCGAACCATGATAAAAAGAGCAGAAGAAGAGCGTTTCTAAAATATGCCTGCGAACCCTTTCAGTTGGCTAAAGGCTCCGAATTCTGGTCTGGACTGTTGAGGATTGGGGGCGACAGCTCGGGGCGGCTTCGAGCTTGGGGGTTCTTGGAGGTTCATGGGTACTTATAAGTGGAGTTATAAGTCCCCTAATGCCCTAATATGGGTTATAGTTACAGTTACCCTACTTATAACCCCACTTATAACTACCCATGAACCTCCAAGTAGGGCAGACCACCAGGTTGTGAGGATGACAACACGAGAGTGAAGCATCGGCCAAAAGAAGAGTCCCCGATCCCATGGCAGGACCAACTTATCACTAGGCTTTCAGGAACATGTAAGGGCCTTAATAATTAGAATAGGGTTTTGGGACCCGTCATAATATAGTTAGAATACGGAACCCCCAAAATAGTATAGGTAACTATAGGGAGATCGGAACCTTGAACTGGGACCGGGAACCCTGAAACGAACAAACCCCTGTAAACCGAACCAGGGGGTCTGTGATGCGCGAAGTAAGGACTGGCTGCCGATGACAGACCTCTGCGGAATACATGCTCACGCCAACTCCAAAAATCCACAACCCGAATACACCCTAGACACCTCCAAACCCTCAAACTGCCTTTAAAACCTTTCTAAGAGGTCCTTCGGGGCTTTTTGAGGCCAAGCCTTGGAGTTCCAGGCACCGGGGGTAGCTGCAGAGCTCCCCGCCTCAAAGAGTCGGCTCAGGGGGAGGCTCCAGGGCTTCCAGGGCAGGTTGGATTTACCCATAGGCCCCATAGTAGTTCCTTTTTGTGGTTCATAATTGTAGAAATATTTAGAATCCTATAAGGTAATCCCAAAAAGGAACTACTATGGGGGTTTAGGGCTTCACGTTTCGGAAACAGGGCAGGGCTCCGGTAGCTGGTTCTATGAGGGCTATGATAAGGATTTAGCATGAAGGCCTGAAGAACTAGAATTACAAGGGCTGCTATAAGGGCTTAAGATGAAGGGCTGAATAGTCCTACTAGCAACAGGGTTTTGGGTGTACATTGCTTTGGGCTGTGGCATAAACCCTAAACCCTAAACCCTAAACGCTAAACCCTAAACCCATCATAAATGACTATATCGAAGTAATATTCTCATTAGCCACGGGCGATAAGGAGAGCCGGAGACCTCGGGCTCGTTCGACGTACGGCTCCGAGTTTGGGGTGTAGGGTTTGGGTTTAGGGTTTAGGGTTTAGGGTTTAGGGTTTAGGGTTCAGGGTTTAGGGTTTAGGGCTTTTTTGCTGAGGTTTCAGGCTTGTAGTTTACTGATTCTTCTTCGGCGTCTGTCTGAGACTGTATTCAATGAAGCAAGGGCCAAACCCTATAAGCCTTAGGCACAACACAAGACGAGCAAAAAAAACCGTTCCTGGTAAAACCGGAAGGTAGACAATGCTGCCAACAATGAGTCTTCTCAAAGGACAGATGCTACACGAAGTGCTTGAAAAGGAGACCCTCAAAAAGCCACGGATTGCCGAGCACACAAGCCCTGGGCGACGAACGCAGGGGACAGCCACGCCGGTGATTCACTATCCACCGCCAGGTAATGTTGATCCGTGGAGGCCAGAAATCTGCCCGCCTTGAAGCCGCTATTTCGTAATCTTTACTGTGCTTTGGATATACAGCTTGGCTGTTGTTACATTGCCTTCGAGGGGCACGGTATCCACTGAAAGTTGTGTCTGAACAATCATCAGGAACTGGTGCTTCGTGCGAGCTCTTCTACCCTGCACCTGCTTGCGAAACCTTCGACGCATTCACGAAGGCAAGGTATTGCCCTGCTGGGAAACATGTCAGAGCAAGAGAGGCCCAAGCATGTGTTTGCACAGAGCTTATCTGGTTCAGCAAGGACCCTGCATTAGCAAGAGGCCAATGAGTGTTGCCACTATTGCCGGGACCTGAGTTAAACAAGTGAATGTTCCTCGCTGCTTGCGTAGGCGCTGTCGCGGCTCCCGCGTCAGGAAGTGCACGGTGTGCTTTTGCATCATGCCTTCCTTTGCATCGGCTCGAAATGACAGATTGAACATCCAACGACCAACTGCCGCACCAGAATTTCAAGGCACGATCACTTTCTTCTTCGAAAAGCCTTGCGCCACAATATGGATAAAACACCTCACCCTCTTTCCACATCGCAATTAGAAGCTTGAGGACCTCTGGGACCTTGATAGCGAGACCGCTAAGCTTTGGCGGGGGTGGGAAATCCTTCGGACAAGCCTTTTGCTTAATGACGGGGCGTGAAAGGGACCCTTAAGCCCCTAAACCCTAAACCCTAAACCCTTAAGGGATCCCTGAGCAGGACCTTCCGAGGCCCTTGCACCGCGGCCCGAATACCCTAAACCCCTACATGTAAAGGGGCCCTTCATAGATCCCCAAGAGGATCCGTAGAAAGGACCCCGCCCCCTCTTCCCCCCTGAGACCAGCTCCATGCTTAGTAGATCGCCATGCCGGAGGTCCACTTCCACAATGCTCTCCTTCAGGGCAGGGGTTCAACTTTGGGAGTTCCTGAAGGGTTTAGGGTTTAGCAAGCTGAGCAGCACAGTGTCTTAGCCCAAAACCCTATACTTGAATCCTAAGGTCCTAAGCACCTGAAACGTAGCTTCATATGAAAGCCTGAAGCCAATCACCGCATACAGGCCAGCTGCCCGTCCTGCAAGGGCTCCGTGCCCTCCGCCTTGAGTGCAATCCTCCCACATATGGGATTTTCCGAAAATAAGGGACCCTAATATAGTACCCTAAATAGTAGGATCCTTATTATAAGGACCCCAAAATAAGGTACCCCTAATCTTTGGAAACTCCCATATAGGGGATTTCTCAACCAGGGTCCCCATAGGGTCCCTGAAAGGTTTGGATTTGGGGTCAGAGGAATGCCCGCTCTAGCGCGGGGCCTGTGTTATTCGACGGAAACGAAGAAGGCAAACAGCGCTGGCTCGTCGGCTCCGCAATAGGGCGACGCAGTTTCGGCTGGAAATCGCGCTACCGTAAGAGCAGAGCCCATTGCGTTGTGTGGCCTTCGCTTGGAGTCTCTGAAAAGCTGACATGGGCCACGCTTTTCGGCATCTTGCTCTCTTTCATGCGGTCGCGTTCTGTCCGCCGGAGTGATCTCGACGTCGCCCTGGTGAGGTCTTGCCCGAATTCTGAGGAACCCTGGCTTCAGAGCGTCCTGCTTTGTAACAATCTGAGAGGAATCTGGTACTTCTTTAAGGTGGCTGCAGACAGAAGTTGAAGGCTGCTATGCCACTGAGGCTCGACCGTATCACTGCATCAATGGCCGGCAAGAGCTTACCAAACAGCTTCCTACGACGCATGGCGACGACATGTAAACCAACACTACACGGCATTCAGAACAGGTGTCGTACAAGCTGCATGGAACATCCAAAGCATACCCGGCCTGTAACTTCTGGCTAGACGCGAACACGATTCAGAGCAGCAACAAGCCTGGTGCTCAACGAAGACAAAATCGAAGTTCTTCTTTCAAAAATTCGGGTTCAGGGGTATCCAAGAGAAAAGCACGTTGTAGACTAAATTGCGGGCTCATATTCCCCGGATGCCCAAACCCCAACTCGGTCCAGAACTCCCGCCGTCCGCCCAAGGACAACGAGACGATGGAGCAGTCCTGCTCTGGCGTGTGGACTTCGGGTACCGGGCCCAAGCGAACGTGTGAAATGGAGAGCTGATTTAGAATTAAAGACTAAGCCGAGATCTCATGATCTTTCCAACTATCACGGAGACCGGAGTTGGCTCCTGCACCTTTCCCTGGAATAGGCTCTCGTCGTCCGAGTGCCAGCCGACAGATTGCATGCCGTCCTCCATAGTTAGACTGCTGGGGGGGGGGGGGGGGGT